GCTTGAGACGATGCTGAGCGAGGGACACCGGGATGACTGAAGTACCTGCAAGACCGCGGAGCGAGGGAAAACAAACAACCTGGAGTGTTTCTGTTCTGGGAGTGGCATGACAACATGAAGCTCTTCAGCCCACAGAAGGTCCAACAGAGCTTTCAGTCTTAAAGAGAGTGGATCAGTCTAGGTCACAAATGCAGCAAGAACAAATGAAATGCACAGTTCTGCTGAGGCTGAAATCTACTTAGAAACAGTCACCTAATAATTTAGGTTAAACCAAAGGACTGCACAGTGGAAAGGTAGGTAGCATTGCCACCTCACAACACGAAGGTTGCAGGTTCGAATCCCACCTGCATGGCCTTTGTACATTAGCGTGTTCTCCCCACGCATGCATGGGTACTCTCCTGATTCTCCAGCTTGCGTATGGTTGTTTATTTCTGTGCGTCCCTGTGATGGACTGAGACCTGTCCAGGGTGTCCCCTGAGTCTCACCCGATGACTGCTGGAGACAGACACCAGCTCCTCCACATGACCCTACTCAGGATGAAGGTGCCCAGGTGAATGATGAAATAGATCGTTTTCAAAAACAGATTTATGGTGACTCCTGCAACTTTCATCAACTCTTTCAGCTGCAGAACCAAAAACATTTGAACAAATCACATCCAGATTTGATCAAACCATGGGATAACGGTTTTTACAAGTTCATCATTTAGTTCTTAACATGTCACTTTCAGCATGGATTTGCTAGTTCTTGTTTTTTATTCAAAACCAGAAAAACTGAGTGTTTGATGTTCTTGAGGCGGAACATCTTAATAATCTAAAGAAATGTTGAGATCATTGAAACATATTCAACTCCACAATATCTTTAAAAATAAAAATGGTGGCATGCTGATTTTGGGTTGTTTTTGTTTTCTACAGGAAAGGTTACACACTACAGCTGAGTCACAAGAAGGTCAGAATGTTGTTTTCAATGATCCAACCATAGAATATCAATGTGTATGACTAAATATTTATGTAAAATGCTTTAGCTGTTTTCAAAATCCTCCTGAGACCCAAACCTTTGTCTGGTGTGATTTTGTTTTATTTCCTCTGACCATTTCAGATTAGAAAAAGCTTTTAAACATAAAAAGAAAATAATAGCATGTTTTTTTAGTTAAAGTCCCATGAGTCCCATTGTGGGCTGTCGTTGTGTCCTTGGGCAAGACACTTAACCCCACTTGCCTGCCGGTGGTGGTCGGAGGGACAGGTGGCGCCCGTGCTCAGCAGCCTCGGCTCTGTCAGGGCGCCCCAGGGCAGCTGTGGCTACATTGTAGCTCATCCCCACCAGTGTGTGAATGTGTGTGTGTGAATGGATGAATGACTGATTGTGTTGTAAAGTGCCTTGGGGGGTTCCAGGACTCTAGAAGGTGCTAAATCAAGGCTATTTTAGTCATCACACACTGGTGAAATTCATCTCTGCATTTGACCCATGCCTGTGGGGAGCGGTGAGCTGCAGCTGCGGCTGTGCTTGGAACCATTTGGTGGTTTAACCCCCAATCCAACCCCTTAACCCTCTCAGGCTCAAAATAAGTTTTGATAAAAGGACGAACAACTAAGTCCTTCAGGGGAACTTCTGAGTTAAAAAATGCTCATGAAATACGTATGTGGAGTAACCAGGTAGGTAGGTTTTAATGTTTCAAATATGCAACGCCTGCCTCCAGAGGGTTAAGCTGAAGCAGGGAAGCACTGGGTCCCATTGTTGAAGTCTTTTTTGGTATGACCCGACTGGGATTTGAACCCTGATCTCCCAGTACCAGGTTGGACCATCCACCATTGGGCCACTGAGAAGATCATCTGAAACATCTAAGGAAATATAAAAATTGTGTGATATTTCTGTTTGCTTAACTAACCCTGAATATTTACGTCAAACTGTGTGTTTTACGTTAGTTTACACAGTTTATTTTGTAAGTGTTGCAACATGAATCCAAGTAAAGCCAATATAAAGTCCTCACTGAGGGGCAAGAGTAATTAAAAGAAGAGAAATGTTGTGATTGAGTTAAGTGTCAGCAAATTGAAAAGTGATGAGACTCAGAAGAGTCCTGGGTCAATACAATTAACAACCTGTTCACAGGAGGGATTTCGATTAGCAACCTCTAGTGATGCTAATAGTGCAAATGAGTACGAGAGAAGGGGAATAAAAAGAGAGCAACATGTGAACTTTTGATGTCTGCAGTTTTATAAAACCAGCTATTTAACACCTGCAGCAGTGATGTTCTCAGAGATTCAGATGAGCATGTAACGGCGTCAATTCGATGTTTTGACATCATGTTCAATACAAGATGAAGGATTATTTAATTAAAACTTGAGAATAATCAATAAAACTGCTTGTGTTGCTTTGTAAATGAGGTGCTGCATTTATTCAGGCCAACTTCAAAACACCTGAAGGATAAGGTCAAATGTACTACAAGTCCATATTCTCAGTTCTACTGGATGTTTTAGTGTGATGCTCTGTGATTAGTTTATTTTCTCATCAGTGATGAGTTTAATAATAGATTAGGGTGGTGGATCTTTGCAATAATGTCTCCACTGGCTGAATAAGGTGAGCAACATTTCAGAAATGTCACATTTAAAAAACAGTTTTTCTTCTTTAAACACCCTTCTAAAATGGGGCGTGTGTTTTTTGTGGGCTAATGTGATTATTAGTAAAGATGATGCAGCTGGTAAACAGATGACTAAACTTGGTTCACTCTGGGTCTGTTCTATTTTTAAACACAGCTCTATAAAAATGACTGGGGCGAATCTATAATTGTCTTTTTATGAAGGAGGTGTGCTATCATGATGGACACGTGTGAGGCTACATTCATAAACCAGTGTCACCATCCGGACACATCTCAGCCGCCCTTTTAGAAACAGACGGGTGTGTGATCTCGTGGCGCTACTCACCCGTGATGCTCTCACTTGGCACCTTGTGGGTAAAGACAGTTATTACACAGGAAAGATAAAGTGTAAGAAATAAGATGGATTTCTGCAGAAAGATACAAGTTCACACTCCCTCAAGGTGCATGCTGGGTAATTCATCTACAATCATCTGGACTTTTGCCTTTAGGTAACGCAGAGCCAGTGATGGAGCAAGAAGAAACAGAGAGGGCTGAGTCATACAATAGAACACACACACACACACACACACAAACACACCAGAATTATTTCTCATATCTTCAGTGTACTGACTGGAGCAAAGTCACCTCTCCTTACTCATTGGGATTCACAAAAACGTCTGGACAATCTGGGTTAAACAGGATAAAACAACACATTTTTAAATTTCCAATTAAACATTTTGTCATTTTGTTTCCTTTAAAAACGATAAATGTTGCACTGAAGGCTTTCATCACCTTATTTGGGTATTTTAAATCAAATCCTGCAGCTGTGGGGGAAAAGTATCAACTCAAAGCAAAACATAGAATAACGTGCATTAGACTAAATAAAACCTGGTGACAGCTGTGTGTGTGTGTGTGTGTGTGTGTGTGTGTGTGTGTGTGTGTGTGTGTGTGTGTGTGTGTGTGTGTGTGTGTGTGTGTGAGAGCGAGAGAGAGAGAGAGAGAGCCTATGGTGTAGAGAGAGAGAGAGAGAGAGAGAGAGAGAGAGAGAGAGAGAGAGAGAGAGAGAGAGAGAGAGAGAAAGAGAGAGAGAGCCTATGGTGTAGAGAGAGAGAGAGAGAGAGAGAGAGAGAGAGAGAGAGAGAGCCTATGGTGTAGAGAGAGAGAGAGAGAGAGGGAGAGAGAGAGAGAGAGAGAGAGAGAGAGAGAGAGAGAGAGAGAGAGAGAGAGAGAGAGAGAGAGAGAGAGAGAGAGAGAGAGAGAGAGAGAGAGAGAGAGAGAGAGAGAGAGATGTGAGGCTCCCATCTCTTTGGGTGATGGATCTTTATGAATAGAGGGTGATGGGAGCTGGATGTAGGAGCGCGTTGCGCGCTCCTTCTGCCCATCACTGGTGAGTTCTATTTTTAGAAACCCTGCTTACCTCACGTGCAATGTGGTTCTCGCGCTTGTGCGAAATAATTCATGAGTGCCATTCATTAAAATAGCTCAACATCTTTCCATTGAGGCTTGGAAAAATCTTCAATGTAACTTTGAAGCATTTCAGGAATATAATTAAATAAAAGGATCAAACGAGGCTGAGTCAGACACGATGGACGTCATGTTGTTTAGACGTTTCTGAAATGCAGGACGCCTTTTTAATACTCAAAGTGCCCGGATGTTCGTGCCGTTTCTCTGGGCATGAATAGTTTTAATAATCTGAGCGTTTTAACGTTGCTTGACATTACTGGATGAGTGGACATACCAGCTGTATCTAAAGCATTTGATTATATCCCATAAAACACGGATCACCTAAAGACATATTTTTAGTAAATAATAACAATGTGGTGATTTTCATCCATAAGCATCAGAATGGACACATCCTCCTGTCTCCCAACGCGGATTATTCACTTCCTGACAGTAACTGTGGTCCATCGGAACCTTTTAACAGCACCTGCCGTGTTTACTGACGAGTCCGAGCCGAGCAGCCAGAGACTGGCAGCCTATCAGGTGCCAGACACATAAACACACAGACCTCGTTCGTATTCAACACACTCTCTCCATCCCCCTCTTCCTCCTCCTTTCACAATTCACCGGAGCCCGGTGACTCCGTTTACGTTTTACTCTGGCTCCGCCCCTTACTCGGTTTTGTCCAAATCGGGCTTTTTGCGTCGCCGGAGCTCCCGATTTCAGCCCCACGTCATCACCGAGTAAAGGGAAGAGCTGACGTCGAGGAATAGTCACAGAGAGGAGAGGGCACGGAAGAGGGAGGGGGGAGACTCTCTCCACTGCTTACATTGATATGAGACATCTAACCCCCCCTCCTTCCTTCCTCCCTCCCTCCCTCCCTCACCCCTCCTTCCTCCGTTTTACGTCGGTGTTGGCGCGTCGGGAGCCCCCCTGCTCCGGAGGAGTCCCAGCCTATATAAGTGACCGGCGAGCAGAGTCCCTCAACCAGATTTACGGGTTCCGGACTTTCTTCGCCAGAGACGGCGACCACAGCCGCCGATTTACCTGCACTCCGAAAGGAGGGACGGACATCCAGCAGGCGGCCAGCATCCGAGGCTGGACAGGAGAAGGTTTTCCCAAAAACCTTTTTCTGGAGCGCACAGCTGAGATGAAAGTCCAGTGACACACCTGAGAGCTTTCTGATCTTCCGCTCCACCGCTGTCTCTGTACACCTCTGGGAGACAGGACGACCTCGACAGAGACACCCAGCAACACTCCGCTAACAACTTGACACCTGAAGGAATTTCCTCGCGGCTCACCGCAGCGACAGATCACGATGTACCGATCAACGAAGGGAGCGTCCAAGGCTCGACGGGACCAGATCAACGCCGAGATCCGGAACCTGAAGGACTTGTTGCCCATCTCCGAGGCAGATAAAGCCAGGCTGTCATACCTGCACATCATGTCACTCGCTTGCATGTACACCAGGAAATCCGTCTTCTTCACTCAAGGTAGGAACGACCTGTTGATGAATTTCATGCTGTAAAATCCGCCACGGCGACAGAATCAACAAGTGTTCGGGCAGCACCGAGTTCATTGCTTTAGACTAAACCGTAGAAGTGTTTTTCATTGATCATCTCACATAATCTTCAGAGAAGCTGATAAATCCTGAAACTGTCGCTGTCCGCGGTGCTGAAAGGCTCCAGCATCACCCGCGCAGCCTCTCCGCTGTCCATGGTGCTGAAACCGCATCAGCTGTTGCTGCCGCAGAGATTAAACACATTCAGGTTTTTTAACAACCCTGTCGCCCTGTTTCTCCGTCTTTTCCCTCACAGAAGCAGGAGCTGCTGCTAGTCTTGAGGAGAGCGCAAGTTTTCTGTCTTTTCACGAGCTGTCGGAGCTGATGCAGTCGCTGCCAGGCTTCCTGATGCTGCTCACGGGAGAAGGGAAGCTCCTCTACCTGTCAGACAGTGTCTCTGAGCACCTCGGACACTCCATGGTGGGTCCACACACGCAGCCGAACCCTCGGGTACATGGGAGGGATGAGTTTGAGTATCATGAATAACGTGAGTGTGTTTTTCAGGTGGATCTCGTGTCACAAGGCGACAGTGTTTATGATATCATCGACAATGCAGACCACTTCATCATGAGGACCAACCTGTCAGCCTCTACATCACTTGATATGGGTAAGATAAGCATGTACTTTATGAGCTTGATCAGTGTTTTTATTTTGAAAATCATGGATTAACAACCTCCTGCTCCTCTTCTGCTCCTCAGATCGTCTCTTCCGCTGTCGTTTTAACACCTCCAAGTCCGTGCGCAGGCAGAGTGCTGGGAACAAACTGGTTCTGATCCGAGCTCGCTGCCTCTCCGCTCCTTCCACGACCCCCACCATCGGGTCGTACTGGACCTCCAACCCCGTGTGGGTGTGTTTCTGCTCGCCCCTGGAGCCCCAGTCTACCCGCTCCAGCTCCGGGGCAGAGAGGGAGTCAGCATCCAGCCCTCCCCTGGCTGAAACCAACTTGTTCCTGGCTTATTTCCACTCTCAGCATGACCGCGACCTGAGACTGCAGACCGCTCAGAACAGGTGAGGTTAATTACTCTCCTCCACTTGTTGCTTTGATGGGAACTGGTAGATCAATGAGATAAATGGGTGAAAATGGTAATCCTAATGCATCTCCACCCACTCCTTCCTGCAGTGTGAGCGCTTATCTGGGGTTTGATGTGACAGCTCTGTGCTCCCGCTCCTGGTACAGCCTCCTCCACCCACAGGATCTGTCACATGCCTCCGCTCAGCACCGTAGCCTCTGTAAGTGTACCACACTATTACACACACTGTGCCCACATTCAAACAATGGGGAAAAAAACAACAGCATGATGATTAATAGGATGACACAATGACTGCAAATTATTCTGCTGTTCCACAGTGAGAGAAGGAGGAGAAGGCAGAGCTGAAATGGTGGTCCGTGTGCAGGCTCAGGATCTGTCCTGGGTTTGGCTCTACATGGTGCTCCAGCTGCAGCCTGGAGACATTCCCATCAGTAGCAACAACTACATCATCAGGTATTTACTGCCCCTTTCAAAACTTCACACCGTCTAGGATGAAGGTTGATCAATGTGGTGAAAAGAGAAACATAACTCTATTTTTCTCTCTGTCTTCTCAGTGACTCTGAGGCGTGGTCAGTGCGACAGCAGCTCAGTTCAGAGCAGACCCAGCTAACCCTGGTTCTGAGTGCTGGTTCCTCTCAGCAGGAGAACCTGAGTCTGCAGTCTCCAGAGACCCTGTCCAGCCCAGACCAGGTGTTCACACCTGGCAGCAGTGGCCTGTCTGCCCAGTCCTTCGACTTCAGCACTGCTGGCTGCAGCGTCGGCTCCTCCGATGAACCTGGGAGCTCCGTTACTGAAGCCATGCAGCTGGAGGGTGACCCTCGCTCAAGCATCTCCTCTTTGGAGGAGGAGAGCTACTTCCAGCAACCTCCTGCAAAAACTCCCTCAGCGGCCTCCTCCCCCACTCCAGTCACTGTTGAAACAGTAGCAGACTTAGACTTTTTAACACAGAACATTCTCCTGCCACCCTCCTTCCAGCTTGAACCCCCACTGCCAGCACTCCCCCTGCCTCTCCCCCCTGTTCCCACCTCACAAGCTCAGCAGTCCAAAGAGTTTGTGTGCACTCCCCCCTACACCCCCCAGGTTGTTGGGGCCAACTTCCCATTCAACGAACCCCTCTTCAGCTTTGACCCAACTGGAACGACCACACCTCCACTCTCTGCAACAACAGCCACTGCCACCACCTCCTTGGCTCCATCAGAATCATCCACCGCCCCACCCACCACAGCCCCCAGCCCCTCTCCTCCCACCATCCTCTCTGCCAAACTCCCTCTCACTCTCCCTACCCCATCGACTGACCTCCTCTTTTCCATCGAGCCTTGCAGTGGTTCCCTTTACGAGAAACTCCCTCCCACACCCGACAGCCCCGGAGATGGCGACTGTACAGTGATGACCCTGCCTGAGGTACGGGGTCCGCTGTATGTAGATGTACCACTGGGACCCCTCCAATGTCCCCCCGAGGGCCTCCTCACCCCTGAGGCATCACCTGGTAAACATCTCTGTCTCTCATTCTTTTCCCTTGATAGGGAAAAGGAAAGAGCAGAAATATCCCACCTAGCTCAACACATCAGCTCACTGGCTGAGGGATTCTACCTGGATCCACTCTTGTCCAAACTCTCCCCCTCCTCCTCTCCACCCTCCCCCTTCCTGTCTCCAGTTGTGGAACCTGCTGATTCAGTTCACATTCTGAGGGAGTTTTATCCCATCAAAGCATGGAGGGGGCTGGACATCCCCATCTTCCTTGATGACGACGAATCTCTGTTTGAAGAGAGCATCCTAGAAACCCTTCTGCAAGACGACTTTGCTCCTCCCCAAACGTCCAGTCTCTCCTCCCCATCCCCTCTGACCTCCCCTGTGCCTGATCCCTGCAGCCCATCCTCTCCTCAAACCCCAGTATGCTGGCACCAACCCTCCCAGTTTGAGGGAGTGGGCCACATCTGTAGCGTCCAATCGGCGCAATGTAACTCGATGGCTGAGTGCGGGGCGACTGTGGCAGCTGAGGCCGGGATGACGGTGGAAGGGGAAGGGCTAATGGAGGAAGCAATGGAGATCGAGATGGTGTCATCTCCTGTGTCCTCCTACTCCTCCATCCCAACTTCCCCTCCCCTTGTCCTCACTGCCTCCCTGAGTCCTCCCATCTCCTCGCCCGTCGCCTCGCCCACGCCCGCCGTGTCTTGCACTCAGTCCCTCCTGGAGGAACTGGCCGTCCTGGAACCCATGTTTGGGGCAGGTGCCTCGATCGCCCCTGGCTTAGGGCAACAACCTGAGTTGTATCAACTCCAATGTCATCCATCGCCACAGTGCTTCCACAATGGTGAGACCTTGTTGCATTACATATCTCAGCTTTGCAAACGAGATCACAAATCTTGAACCAAATCACTAATGTTCTCTGTTTTTCTGTCTTTCAGATGGGAGTGGAAGTGTTCCTCCGTTCTAAAATAAGTCTGTGACTTACTTCATTAAGTATGGCATATTGTCATATTTTGTGGAGACCCTTTTACTGAAAAGTAAAAAATAATTAAGTGTATAAATATACATAATGTATATACAACTTAAGGACTTCAACTCCTACATGTCTGCTGAGAACAAAGATTGGCTCTATATTTTTGCTCATCTGTGTGATTCTACAGAACCGGTGCCACATTTCCACAACGGTGCAACTGCATGGACCCACAACTGCCTTGGTTCTGTGTCCATGCGGCGTCCTCTTTAACCTCTCTGTTCCATGAGCTTGTGATCAGACAGAGACGATCAAACCTCCAGATAAGTATGTGTATTCACTCGTAGTGAAATTTCTGTCGTGAACAAAAACGTTTCTTGCTATTTCAGTAGTGAGATGGAATAAAGCACTTTTTGCCTGACATGCAGCAACGCAAACCCAAACCTCTAATGTATTGAAGTCCATTGCATACAATTGTTTACAGTTTTAGTGCGATCACAATCAGAATAATGTAACGGAGAAACAGAATCCAACTAGACCCGAGATACTTTGAGTTTTGAGTTTGCGACTTCAAACCTTTAAGAGCTCATACTTATCTCCATCTAGACTCTTGTGTATCAATGTGATGTGCAAAAAAAAAAAAGAAGAAGAAAACGCGTGACGAGGTCCTGAAAGTGTCAACTCAGAAAATATCTGGAAGTTTGCCAGGACTTTGATCACGCCACAAACCCACTGCTACGCTGTACATTAAGACTCTGAATGTGGGCCTATCAAGCCCCCCTCCACACACACACACACACACACACACACACACACACACACACACACACACACACACACACACACACACACACACACACTTTTTGGCTGGAGGGCAGTGGGCTGGATATTCTTGCAGCATCAATATTTGCAATGCTGGCAGCTTATAGCGGCTTGTGTGCGCCTGAAACGGCCCTGACCTGCTGAACTCTGAACTCTATGTCATGTCCATTCGACATGGACGGTTACATCGTTGCTCCGCTGGAGCGCGGTGTAGTGAGGCACAACTGACTGTGTGAATGAGCAATTCTTCTTTTTTGAGAGGGGTTAAAATACAAAGGTTTTGTTTTAAAAAAATGAAAACAGGGATGGGGTGCTATTTCTATTCCAAACGACACGGGTTGAGAATGGTACAATTCCCATGGTGTCGACGTGCTCACGTAGAGTTGTCTACGGTCAAGTAAAGGATTGATTCCTACGTTCTAGCTATTAAAGGCTAAGTTATAATATACATGTGTAAAAATGATATATTATTGTATGTGTGATGATGTTATTCATATGCATTATGTCCCAGGATGTAGGCATATGATCTTTTCTGAAAGGTTGTACACATTTGTACATTTGTATGAAACAGCTACTGACCTGTAGATACGACAGAGAGATTTTTATTGTATACGATGGAAAATATTCCAAACATCCTGTTTCCTGGAGAACGGACATTGTGAACCAGTGTTCTATTGTGATGCTTATAAGTGTATTTGGTTGTCATACAAATGCATTTATAATAAAGTGCACTTAATGCGGATGATGCGTTTGTGTCGTCACAGTCAAGCCCTCCGCTCTTCTCCTCTCCTCTCAGTCTCATCATCACCACCACCATCATCTTCTCCTCCCCTCCCCTTCACTCTCCTGCGTTTCTTCCCCCGGAGCGAGTTTTCGCTCAGCAACAGCTCTGACGCACACGCATGACGAGACAGAATGAGACGCCATCTGACTCAGACTGACGCACACGCTTGGCGTTGAGGTTTTTGTTTTTCCCCCCCCCTTCTTCTTTGCGTGTGAAGATGTACACACAAGAACACACAGATGGTCTCCCACACACACACGATAGTACGAACACAGACACACACACCTCCTCACAAATCACAGTAGCCCACATTCACAGATGTACCTGCGGCTCTCTCACTGCTCAGCGTGGTGTAAAGCTCCATATATAGGCATTCCTGACAGAAACAGCCTCCCGTCTATTCTCAGCTTCTATTCAGGGGGATCAGAGAGGGGAGGGCGGAGTGAGGGGGAGACAAAGAAAGAGTTAGGAGGCTAAATTTAGAGGTACAGTAAAAAAAAAACTGGGGGAAAGGAGGGATGTGGAAAAAGCTGATCCTGCATCACCACACAGATGAAAGGGAACCAGATGTACACAATAATAATAATAATAATTTTAAAATGAGCCAAATAACATGTTATTCTTAAGATTGGTTTCATGGATGGAAATTAATTTTCTTCCATACGTGATCAAATGTCCAACAGTAGTAACCTAAAACTACTTAAGGTAACAAATGCCTCGAGTGTTGCACCTTTTTTCTGCAAACGAACATTTTGTTCCGGCTCTACCTGCCGCAGTGTAGCTGATGGAGGTGAGACTAGTTGAGAAGAGACATTACACGGCTGACTGCTGCCATCTCCTGGAGGAGACGAGCACTGCAGCTTGGAGGGAAAGGTTTATGAGGGCAAAGAGAGGACGGGTACTCGAGTGACTACAGTTGGATCGAAAGTTCTCATGGAAATCAGAATATTTCATTTACAACAGAAAAAAATAAACAATCCCTGAAGCAGAACTTTTATTGAAAAAAGAAGAAGCCCCTTGTACCTGGTACCAGGTTTGACCTTATTGGCCTTCAGAACCACCTTAGTTCTTCATCGAGTCAACAAGGTGTTGAATACATGACATCATCACACAGTTCCACCCATGAAGAGAATCTCCTGTTTACCACATTCCAAACATTCTGGACAGGGCAAAGATCTGGTAATTGTGAATACATGCTTTCATGCTTTCTGACCCAACAATCTGAATGCTGCAGCTGAAATCTACTCACCAGTTCTGGAGATCTTGTGTGAACTGTAGCCTCAGTTTCTAGTTCTTAGCTGACAGGAAAGACACCTGGTGTGGTCTTCTGCTGCTGGAGTCCATCTGCTTCAAGAGTCAGGGCGTTGAGGCTCAGATGGTATCACGCAGACTTTAGGTTGTGGTTATTTAAGCTACCATTGTTATCTAGTCCAGTCTGCCCATTCACCTCTGCCATGTTCTGCTATTTCTCCTCCAGCTGACTTCTTCACCTCAAATGAGTGCACTGGATCATTTACTATTTAAAATGCATTAATTCCTACTAGTGACCACTGCAAATGCATTAGAAATATGAGTAAAGTTGACCTTTAAAAAAAGTCTGGTTTAACTTCTAAAAGCCTTGTTTTTGAAACACGGTGGTGGTAGTATGATGGTTTATTCTGGTTAGTTGTTTCTGGGCCAGAATGACTGATGGAACATTTCAGCACTGTTCTGTTAGGAGCACCAGATTAAAATGTGTTTTAAGAGGAAGTCTAAGATGGATCAGTAGCTGTTCAACCAAAAAAGCAAAGGTTTACATAGATTACGCCCTTTCCAGATTTTCTTGAAAAAAACAATGTTTAGTTCAAATAAAAAAAAATTCACATGTAAGTTTGAACATTTGACCATTTTGAAGCACTGCTACACAAAGGCACTCCCTTTGGGTGGTTGTCGTTGTTGTTGGATGGGGAGGTGCTGGAGCGGGTGTCTTCCTACAAATATTCAGGGTTGTGTTTGGATGAGAGGCACGTGTGGGGGATGCACGTTTGAGGCCTGGTGGCCAAATGTGGACCCTGTCTGGTCAGAACTGACTGGAGGGCAAACAGGGACACCTTACTGCAGGTGTACAGGGGTCATCCTTGGATTATGGGTGTTTTGTGTTTGGATCAGTTGCACCTTTGACCCTGAAACTACTGGATGTGTTGTAGGCGGCGGCCTTGCGGGTATGCAGTGAGGCTTTCAGAACGACCCTGGTGGCGGCCCTCATTGTGGAGGTGGGTGAGATGCCGTTGGAATTTTTTGGGGTTAAGCTGGTGATACACTACCTGATGAAGGTCAGTGGTGTGGGTGTGTCTACTTCTGCATTATAGCCTTGTTGAGCAGTCATTGGGAGTTAGAAGGAGTGGGCCGGGGGGCTAAAGGAGGTTTTCCTAATTGGTTGAGGGGGCGAACGGTGGGGATGGGCTTCCTTGAGTGGACTGTTTGCTCCCACCTGGTCTGGCCTGAGGTTCCGCCCTGGTTTTTCCCAGTCCCTGAGGTGGACTATTCTTTTTCAGATCGGGACTGAGACAGAGGGGCTGGGGCTTTTATGGATTACAGGGGGACAGTGTGGGGGTCATATCTACACCTGTACACTGATGGCTCCAAGGACCCAGAAAATGGCAGGGTGGCGATGGGTTTGGAGATCCCTGCATTGGGTTTTAGTTCTGTGTTCGTGGCGGAGCTGGTGGCAATTTTATGGGCCTTGCAGTGGATGCTGAGGGGGCAGAAGCTGCGACTAAAAAGGCACTGTGGAGGTCGGGGGGTGGAAGTAGGGGTAGAGTTGGGTCCCCCAGAATACCGCTCGGCAATTGATTGGGTGGATCTTGAGTTGTGGCAGGCCTCCTGGGATGTAGGAGATGCTGGGAGGGCTTTAGACGGGTTGCAGAACCGTGTGGATGTATGTGGGTCTGCTCTTGTCTGTGGGAGGAAAGACTGTGGTCATGATGCAACTGAGGTTGTGCCATAGATGCCTTTAGGGAAGGCTGCTTTTGTTGGGGAAGCACCTGGATGGCTCTAGTGACTTTGGGGAGCTGAGGACTGAAGGACACGTCCTCCTGCGTTGTCCTAATTATGCAGTTGAACGAAAGGGCCTGTTCAATTTCTTGGGGACTACGAGTGTGACATTGTTTAGTCTGCGGACCTGGTTGGAGGTGGAGAATTGGCATAGCGTGGGAACGCTACTGGATTTTCTGTGGAATATATATATATATTAGCGATAGATTAGGGATGAGCCGTTTCAGACGAGTATCCGGTACGGATAAAGCATTTTTGATGAATACAAGCATGACACGAGTAAACCTCGTAAATATCTGTAATCGTGCTGAAGGAAAATCCTCATTGGGTAACTGACTGTCTTCACGCTCTGCGATTGGACAGTCACATAGCGCGCCTGCCCTCCCTACACACAAAACTCTCTAGCCGGCCGGGAGCGCAGTCCGTCCGGCTCATCCAAGCACACACACAGACAGTAACAGATCTCGCTGTGATTGCTTCACTGTTGCTCACGTTTCTTCAGCTCGCCTCTTTTTCAGTTGAATATTTAAAGTAACTTTTTTCGTAACTTACATGGTACATTTGACAAGACAGAGCTGACGTTCTGTGTCTCTACCTCCGCTCCGGTCGGGTTTTTTATTTTTTTAACTCCCTTTCTCTCCCTCTCTATCTCTCTCTCTCTCTCTCTCACACACACACACACACACACACACACACACACACACTCACACACACACACACACACACACACACACACACACACACACACACACACACACACACACACACACACACACACACACACACACACACACACACACACACACACACACACACACACACACACACACACACACACACACACACACACACACACACACACACACACACACACCTCAATCAACATTGTTTTGTTTAACTTTGTGTGGGAAAATGCCAAGAACGTTAAGAAAAAAATCTGTTTAATCAAATTAAAATTAAAAAATATATATAAAGTTGTGTCTGGTTCTAGCATTTCATATTTCCTAGTTCCTACTGCATGAGTTCAGATTTATTAATCCATGCACCTAAATATTAATGTTCAGATTTTTTTGAAACACTTGTTCTGTAATAGTTTCTTTACTATTGTGATCAAAAATATTTAATCTATTCTGAGGCTGCTCTGTAAATAGTTTTCAAATAAACCACACACATATCAACTTCTGATCAATCCATATCAATTTCAGACTTAACATAATATATTGATGTAAACCACACCCACTCCCGGTTAAATCACGCCCATTCCGAGTACAGATACAGATACTGATACAGATAGTGGTGTACTCCCTCATCCCTAATATATATATATATACATATATATACATACATACATACATACATATCAGAAGTCAAGCTAAACAGTCACTCGACAGACAGGGTTAAAAAAATGATCGACCTTTTTCCCCATCACTTTCATTTTTTAAATAGTAATTAATAAACAGTCGATACCATTACAATTTCCTTTGATTACCATTAAAATTTCCTTTGATTTAATTTTAAATGAATATTTAGAGTGCCCAGATAGCACATAAACAATACAATTTAACGGTTTTCTTAAAGTAGGAACGTTTAACCTGTGGCGCCAGCGCTCTCCTTCCTTCTGCTCTGCGTAAACCTGAACTGGCCACCTATTGTGCGTTATCAAATGTCTATTGGGGAAAAGATGGAAAAGATATAACCATGAGGTTCAATTTTGCCTCAGACCGACTTATTGCTGTTTTATGGTGTGGCTGAAACTGCAATCCGCTGCCATGCGGACTGGAATAACAAATGCTGCAGTAACGGCGCGGCGTGTGTGCTTATTGAATCTGTGTGTGTGTGTGTGTGTGTGCGTGCGGCACAGCTCCATGAGCCGCTCCAGTCACCGCGTCTCGTTCTTGGTGCTATTTAAACCAATGTTGTAAAATTACCT